AGAAAATAGTACCTACAGGTGATTTCTGTCTTGGCATACTTCATACAAAAAAGACTCATATATTTGCATCTACGTGAAAAGATACTCAATACAGCACTCTTTGGAGTAGAAACAAAACACCTGAAAACTTAAACGCCCATCAAGGACTGGTGAAATAAATGGTAGCATATCCAGACAATGACCCACCACACAAAATACCACATAGCTATCAAGTCAAAGGAGGTGCATCATTGGTACACATTCAGGCACACATGGCAAGAGCTCCAGAACGTGTGGTTCAAAGAAGAACGTGGGGCATGGGGCAGGTATAATTCCTGCTGAACAGAAAAAAAGGAGGAATATATATATATTGATTAGATATAGAATGTCTCTGTAACAACACACCAATGGTTCCCCCTGGGGAGAAAAACCCCTCCAGGGGTTACTGGAGGAGGGAGACTCCCTTGTTATATACAAAAATTACATTGCTCAAAGTTTCCACATAAACTTTCCAAAAACAAAATTGTTTATGTGTGTATTTGTACATAAACACAAACACTTTCAGAACAAAAGCTATCTAGAGGAAGTACAGGCAAAAGCAAAGAGGAAGGGCGAAGCCTGGCTCCCTCTCCACGCGCCACTCCTGGCTTCCGGTGCCACAGCCCAGCAGACCAGGCTGCTGCCCCCTCCTTCAGCTTGGCTGATTTCTCGGTCTGGAAGGCTCTGTGCTCTCTTTCAAGAGGAGGGTCACCACTGATAGAGGCGAAGCAAGGGAGAGACCCTATCATAAAAATGCAGATCCTCTCCCAACATTCTGTGGAAATTTATCTTCACAAATTGTACTTTTAATTAAGGCATGTCTCAAAGTTTCTATTTCTTTTTCCCTACAAACTTTTTTTTTTTTTTTTTTTTTTTTTGTTGAGAGAGAGAGAGAGTGCAATTATGAGCCAGGGAGGGACAGACAGAGAGAAAGAGAGAGAATCTTAAGCAGGCTCCATGCCCAGCATGGATCCCAACACAGGGCTTGATATCAAGACCCAGAGATCATGACCTGAGCTGAAATCAGGAGTGAGACACTTAACTGAACCACCTCTACAAACTTTAAAAGGCATCTTCCCTTCATTCCCCACGTTCGAAATAATTGGCATGTACTGCTAAGACTGAGGTCAAAGAAAATGGGAAGGACTCTTTCTCCACCTAGAGTAACAACCCACCTTAACAGGCATTCAACAGACAATAAACTGGGGCAGAAGCCTGTTCACTCCTGGCCAAGCTGGCCAGTTACACAGTGAGGAGTTCTGAGGGCCCAATGTTCATCAACAGCCCCACAATAACCTGGGAAGCATTCATTCCCAGTACTTAACCCCTTAAATGAAATCAGACCACTGTTCAAGCCAATCCATACCCAGGAGCCAAAAGGAATAATTAAAGGAGTGAATGTTTTATTCTTTAGTGTTTAATAGAATACATAACAAGTCACATAATCAATGATTCATTACTTCACACACAGGGAGGGAAACAGTATCGAGTAGGTCTCTTATACAACTGGTTGTGAACAGGGAAAACAAAAATCTCTAGAGCATTTAGACGGTTGAGAAATTCTCACTTAAAGTTTGGGCACGTCTCAATTGTCTTTTTTAAAATACAGAGGGATTTTTTTTTTCTTGGCTTTCTGTTTCATGAGGAAAGTCTGATAATCGTTATTTTTTTTTCTTTTCCCCTTCTATTTTGAGAAAATGGCTCAGTGATACGTATCACTTAGCATGTAATGTTTTCAACAATTGCATAATCCCAGAGAGCTCTGTGGGAATCTTACATTGTTTGGCAGTTAAGAGTTTTTCAGATGTAGGGAAAAATTTAAACAACATATAATTTAGGTCTTCAAAATTAACATCCACAATGGACGTTTTAAACTTTTGTCATTAAATGTCACTAATGATGTGTAAGTGGTCACAAACAAATTATCATCATTTGTGTTCAATAGTAATGGCAAAATTCACCTGCCTATAAAGTCACAAATACAGCTGTAAAATACTTTACATTACAATTAATGTTCACATACCTCAAAATACATTTAAAATACAAAAAAACTTGGCAGGGGGGGAACCCACAAAATGTATAAGGTGACAAGAATTCTAGGTCAAATATTCATCTTCCTACCACACAAGATTAAACTCTAATGTAAATTAGTCTGCTTGGATTTCTTCCATCTAAGTTTCAAAGGCCCCAGTAGAGAATCTAAATCTTCAAATTCAAAGATCTTTAAGATTTTATTGTCCACAATTTTGACAAAGAAAAATTAACTTCAACATAACTTGTTTCTGGCTCTAGGAAACCCTGTACCAGGTACTATAGCCACCGAAAACCCAAGAGTATTTTATTTATTCTCAAGAGACAGACTTAGGTAATCTAAGAAAACTAATTCAGTTTTTTAAATGAGTTATCATAAGGAAAAAACAAAAGAAATTCCGGATTTACTCTGCTAAGTTTACAATAAAAAATATTCAGTCTACTATTTTATAAATTTAAGTCAATTGAATAAGGTACTTATGATTGAGACTATAAAAGAAATTCTTACAGAATTCAACCCCTCCAGTCAATACTTTTCTAAATACGTGCACTAAAATTTAGCATTTTTCATGTGGAGTACAAAATGTTTGGAATATTAGAATTTACCATAATTTAAAAAGTAAAAAATTACCAAAGCTTCACCTTACATGGCTTCAATGTAATGACATTCCATGGAAAATTCCAATAAAAATTGGGATATGTTAGAGAATTGCCAGTTGCCCATTTTTGTCTGAGAATTCAGATTGTGCATTTCCTCAGAGAAGCAACAGGCCCCATATATGGATCTGGTTTGAAAGAGAAGACAATTTTGGCTAGTTTCACAAATTTTCACTTTGCTATCAATGCCAAAAAAAAAAAAAAAAAAAGGCAAAAAAAAAAAAACAGACAAACAAAAAAAAAACACCACTACCACCACAAAAAAAAAAAAAAAAAAAGGAAAGAAAGAAAAGAAAAAAAAAAGCAGCAGCAGCAGCACAAGAATAAAAACAGTACGGAAAGGGGAAAAAAATTTTCCAAAGATTTCCAAGTCTCACACCTCTAAGGAATATTTTCCACAACATACAATCTGAAAAATTAGAATGAATATGGTTCATGGTCTACATGTACTTAAAAAATAGGCAACTTATCCAATTCCTGGTGCAAAAGCACTGGGCGAGGTACCTGTGTCTCTAACCACCACTGCCAATGATCTTTTTTTTTTTTTAATAAAATTTGTTAAATCCCATGTCACTCACTTGTACTTATGAACCAGACGGTCATTAAAGCCATTACATAGGTAAATGCACACTATACTGGGTCAGTTTCATGCAGTCGTAATTATGTGAAGAATTTATGACATTCTCCCGGATTATCTGAATGGTATCTTTGGAGGGCTTACTGGTACGGACCCTCAATATCCCATCCAAGATCAGAGGTGACAAGTAACACTCCAGCCCACTTTGTAGATCACAAAGGGTCCTTCTGTGGCCCACAGTACAGGGAAGAGAAGGGACCCAAAAGCACCCATGCTAAGTCACCTAACCACAGTAATCTAAGCCACCCAGCAGAGAATGAGTTTCCTACCCAGCCTTCACTTTGGGCTAAAAGTAGAATATTTGCATTTTTCGACTGCCAACCTTAGAGGGAACAGTCATTCCTAGGAAAAGAAGTCAGTTTACGATCTCTGATCATTTAAATTCCCAGTCTTTGACATAATACAAAGGGAGGGGAGCATTGCTGGGCAGCCAGAATGTGTGGGAAAGTAAAATCCATGTGCCCAAAGAAGCAGAATAGTTCAACTCAAAGATTTATGACATAAAATTCATTAAGACTTGAGTGGCACAAACAAAACTTTAGCACTGTCCCATGACTCCTGGAATTGTGCAGAGTTAACAGAGAAAATCAGAATCCCGGAGTCTTGCCACCTCTCAGTGGCTTTGAACTGTCCTAAGATGTTCTCACATATGTGTTGTTTGTCAAACAATCTAACAGAACACCACATAGGTTGGAGAAATCTGTGATGCTCTTTTGTCCAGAAAGCGACTTTGCTAAATCATTTCAGGCTTGAAACAGAGATAAGCTCTATTGCACTACCTACTCTGAGAACACACCCAACATACACACAAACACAACTTCCTGGATTTCTACTTCCATTTCCCTTACAATTACAGTCTTTATATACCAACCTAACTTTACCTTTCTAAAAATGTAAGTCCAATGAAAAGACCTCAAATCTGTTTACCAACTTAAAAAAAAAAAAAAAAAGAATTAGTGGGTTAAAAATACAGGTACCCTCTTTTTAAGTGGACAGTTAACTGACATATTATTAGTACATAATTAATAGCCAAGGAAAAAGGTATGGAGCAAACTCAGTTTTATAATCAAGTATTTTTTCCTAACCCAGTGTCCCCAGAGACAAGGATCTAAGAAACTCATGAAAACATGTTGCTTTAGTATATACACCATCTGATGCACATTACTGGGGGTAAATATAGGAAATTATTTAGCATTAGTAAATTAATTAAAAAACTAAATGATTCGTGTAAAATGTTTATATATGGTATATACAGGTTGGATCACATGAGTTGTAAGAATAAAACTGTTCCAATTCTTAGTATCTGTTATGGACATAGTAAGATACAGTACAAGATTCATTTTTAAAAAGAAGAAAAAATAGCACTAATTTGAACACTGAAAACGACTCTTACAAAATCTTTAAAAACATACTTCAGAGAAACTGCTGTAACTCATGAAAAAGGAAAAGCTTCTCTGTCATCACAGAATATCCAAAGGAGCCTCACAGCATGAAAAGACAAGGATTCACTTCCCTTCACCTAAGGTGTAGATAGAATATGCAGTGGGGATTTATTCCATGTTAGAGTAAAGGTATAAGGCAATCAGGTCTCCTTCTGTTTCTCTTGCATTTACCTAAAAACACGATTTTATTGCTGAGCCCACTTGTAAGCACTTCCTTGCCTTTGTTTACAAACGTTTCATCGTATAGCTATGTACAGATGGGCGGCCCTGGGTGCTTCTGTCCCTCTGCAGCTCTGTCACCCAAAGAGATTCCACCTTAATTTCAAACCATCTGCAGGAAGAAGTGGCATTTTCAGGTTTTCGGGGTTTGCCCAGAAGTCAACATTGGCTGGGCTTGAAGAAAATAAGGATTTTTAAGAAGAGATCTTAAGTTTAAGTAACCAAGACCAAACAGATTTTGCTCGTTAATAGATCTTAAAATCAGGATTTATAATCAACAAGAAAATAAAGTTCAGAAAAAACTAAAGTTCAAAAACTACTGGGTAACTCTTTGGTTAGGTTATGTAAGTATCAGCAACTTCTAAGTTTAGGACTCAAAACAGTTAGTTCAATAAACCGCCAGATAAGAGTAGATCCGTTACTAATCTTTACAAAATGCTTTGCATGTTTGTGTGTACTATTTTTTTAAATGTGCGTGTACTCAAACGGATGGCACAAACTTCCAACTTTCAAATAATAAATGAATGTGTCTGCTCCTCCCTTCCCACCCCTTCACCCCTCCTTCCTCCCTCCCCATCCCACCCCCCAAGTCTTACAAGCTAAGGTCCTACTGCCATTCACTGCAAGAATACGGGCTTTCCTAATACCCACGACGTGCATTATGGCTACCCAGCTCCGTTTACGGTCACAGCCAGGTGGCTTCCCGCAGTGCTGGGTGACCTGGGCTGTCTCGCCCTTGCCGGCGTCAGCACTCTTGCTCCCTCTCGCCGTTAAAGGCAGCCATGTCGACCTGTCCAACTAAGGGAAGCGGGCGCTGGAGCCAAGGAGAAAGGATGCCTCCCTACGCAGGAGGGTAACTTTCTACAAGTTTAAGCCACAGGCGAAGACTTTTCATTGTGCACGGAAAAGATATGATCCTTCATTGTGCCAGCACTAGATTCTTTTCCTACTTCTACCTATTAGCTTGTCAAAACTTTATTCATTTTGTAGTCTCTGTCTCCACAGGATCCTAATTCCAGGTCCAGAGTCTTCCATCCAGCTCTCTAAAACTCTACCTTTAAAGACGGTCACAAAGGCTACGTAATGACCTTTGAAAACACTAACTAGTCCCCAGTGTTATCAATTCTGATCTCTCGAGCCGCGAAAGAATCAAAAGGGCTTGGGATTTCAGGGAATCTTCTACACAGTGGACAGAGTCCCATCAGGTTCTGAACAATTCTGCCATTCCCAGGTACTTGGTGACTTTGTGGCCACACTGCCTCATTAGATCCAGACTGAAGGACAATCCAGGGGAGGGGTGGTTTGAGTCAGGGGGGCAGAGGAAGCACTGGAAGGGGTGCATCTGGGCTCTCTCGGTTAGCGGGGTCCAAAGAAGACGAAGAAGCCGAGAGGATTTGCGGCTGCAGGTTCTCAAGTGGGGCGTGAGTGGGCCTGGCCCAGCTACTAAAGGTGGGAGACAGGGGAACGGAAAGGAGTGGGGTAGGAGCAGGAAGGTGGGGGATGGGAGCGCTGGAGTCGCGAGGGGGTCTGGGGAGCTCACTCCCGGCAGAAGACGTACTCCGTGTAGCTGGTCCAGATCTTGTCCTCGCTCTGGTCGGTGCTGCTGGCGAAGGCGCAGGTGCCCGTGGAACTGCACGCCACCATGTGGAAGCCCGACTCCGACAGCTTGTCGAAGGCCTGCTCCAGGAAGTTGAACTTGAGGTAATAGCGCGAAGTGTAGCGCTCGGGAGGCCGGTCCGGGTCCCGGCTCTCATTCAGGGTGTCGCCGAACACCTCCTTGGCCAGCGACGTCTTGCCGCACACCGTGATGCGTGCCACTCGCCGGAACTTGGCGTCTGCCTGCGCGTCCCGCCCGATAGTGTAGGAGCCGCGGTAGCCGATGGTGATGTAGCCCGAGCGCCGGCTGCCGTCCAGCGACTGGGACGGCGTGAGCAGCGGGCCCGCCGCACCCCCGGACGGGCTGCGGCTAGCCAGCTCCAGCGTGGGCGACGGCGCCCCGGCAGACGAGCCCTCTTGCTGCTCGGGCTCCGCGTAGCCGAGCGGCAGCAGCTCGTCGCCCAGCGAGCCCTCCTTCTGCACCCCGCGCCGCGAGTGCGGAGGCGGCGGCCCGGGGCCGGGCTGCTGGGGCGCCCCGAGGCGGCGTACGAGCTCGGGCAGCTCGAAGTACTCGGCCTCGCGCTGCAGCCGGCTGCGCTCGGGGAAATAGTCGGGCAGCACGAGCTGCAAGTCCCGCAGGTAATCCAGGATGTAGCGGAAGAGGAAGCCGTCTCGGTCCAGAAAGAAGCGGCCTTTGCTGTCCCGGGCCAGCTCCTGCGGCTGCTGCTGCGTGAACATGCGCCAGAGCAGCGAGTCGGGCACCGACACCACGGTGCAGCGCCGGGTCACATACACCTGGCCCCCCACGTTCAGCTCCACGATATCGGGGAAGAGCGGCGGCTCCGCCGAGGAGGACGAGGAGCCGCTGCCACCCCCGCCACCTCCCCCGTTGGGTAATCCACGTGTGCTGTCCGCTAGAGCCATGGCAAAGAGGGGGCCGCTCTGGGGTGGTGGCAGGGAACGGGGCTGCGCACCGAAGCCGCCGCCGCCTTTGCCGGACTCTGGCTCAGCCCTGCGCTCTGGCCGCCGCAGCCGCCGGGAGCCGCGCAGAGCCCAGCGGAGCGAGCGCGCTGCTGTGCGCCCCCGAGGACCGCGGAGCGCTCGGTCCGCCTCACCCGCGCGCTCCAGGCGAGTGCCGGGTCTCGGCCGGCGCGCGGCTTAAGTAGAGCCGCCAGCTCGGGCGCCGCGCCGCGCAGGAGGCGTGGGCGGCGGCGGAGCTTTGCTCCCCCGGGCGGGAGGGGGCGCCGGCGGAGCCAGGAATGATTTGCATCCTAAACGCTGACGCCGCGCCCGGCTGCTGGCTCCACCCCGGCTCGCGCGCGTCGGGGACGACCCGACTCCCCCGCCGCTCCACCTCCACCTCGCCGGGCCCGCGCTCCAGCCCTGCACGCTCCCGCCCAACTTTGTTCCCTTGCAAAACGGATGGAGCTTGGGACCGGCCGCTGCGGAGGACCAGCTTCCTTCGGAGGGGCAGTGACGGCGCCCTCTCCCCTCCTAACCCCGCCTGGGAGGAGGACGTGAACTTTCCGGCTCCCCCCGCCGGGGCAGTCCAAGTGCGTGGCCGCCTCGGCCCGGCAGCCTCCGGAACTGGCCACTTTAAACCTCGGAGCTGTGGCGCTGCCCTAGTCGGATGTTGTGTTCCCGAAAGTTCTCAAGAGAGGCCGGAAAGCTGGAGGGACGAAAGGGCCGCCCCAGGCCCGAGGCAGCCAGATACTACCGACGTTAACGAATAGTCTCGGAAAAGCCGAGAAACAGAAAACTAACCTCGCTCTCCAGCCGCGGAACTCTCTCCGACAGTTTCTTTCATGGCTGAGGAGGCAAACTCTGGTTGAGAGACCTCAGGGTGGGAGGAAATGAGCTGCTGTGGCTCCCGGAGAAGTCGGGTGCGCTCGAGGAGTGACTTCGTGGCGCGTTGCCGAGGGTGGAGGACGCGGCCTCCTCCCGTGGCGCCTTCGAGGCCAGGCAGCCGGCGTGTGGTGAGGCCAAAGAAACCGCTGAGCCTCCCGGTCCCATTCAGCCTTCGCTGAATCTCGCGGTAAAATAAGCAGGTTTTGCAGATCTAACGTAATTTGTAAAAACCACCTTTCCGCCCCTGCGTGTTTCTCCTCTCAAAGGTCCAGGTGCACCGCGGTCATTCCAGGCGGTCCTCTGAAGGTTGCCTCTAGTCTCAGGGCCTCTGTACATGGGGAGGCCCCTCTGGATCCCACCTGGTGCCCTGAATCCTCCCTCCTCGCATTCACCTGGCGCGCTGCAGCCCAGAGGACTCCTTCTCCCGCACCTCGCCAACCCTTCCCTGGTTTCGCAGGCCGAGGAGCCCGCTGGATTGCTCCTTCCACGTGCCAGCCCAGCCAAGCCCAACACATTCAGAAATTTCATATTGGTGATGATCTGATCCTGACTTCGGAAAATAAGAGCGCTACTGGGCGCTAAAGAACGAGGACAGAAGAGAAGGCGGAGGGAGGATGTTAAGAAATCCCCATGTCAATGAATAGTTCTGCACCGCTCTTTGCCAAGGCCCTATAGTGAAGAATGCAAGGTTGAAATAAGATCCAAAGTGCTTTCCGCGCAGCCCAGCAGGCAAAGGGTCAGAAGTCTGAGCGGTTGTCAGATCAGTTTGAAGTACATACCGTCAGTCAGGATAAATCAGGGCAGATTTTTGTTCTCCATAATAATGTTTCCCCTTGTTGTAACTACCCAATGAACTTTACAGTCTTCTCACGGATAAGTGTCATTTTTTACTTTGAAATGTTTATGTCTGTTGAACAATTATCTCATTCGTGTCAGAGTGCTGAAATACGATCCAGCCCCAAACTAGCTCACTTAATTGCAAGTACAGATTTTGATACTGAATATATTTGACTGTTCTTTTTTGTTGGTTCTTTTGAATAAATAATAGATGACACAAAAAGTTCCAAGTTCTGAAGCTGAATTTCTAGATGGTTGTGCTACTATTTGGTATATCAGTGTCACAAGACTGACAAAACCAGTCTCTTTTCTATAAACCCCAGAAAGGCCTTCTTTCTGTATATACTTTTGTATCATTACTTTGTTCATTGTACCAGCAGATCCTTTCAGTTCCCCCTTAAAATACGTCCAGACTACCAACAAGTCCTTCCCTGCCCACAATCACCACCCTGGACCAAGCCACCCACCATCTCTTACCTGGATTATTGCATTGGTCTGCTAACTGCACTCCCCTTTGCCCCCTAAAATATTTATATTTTTATTTAATATTTTATCACCAGAACAAAAGGAGGGATCCTATTATAACCTAAATCAGATCATGTCTCTGTGCCCAAAGCCTCCCAGTGGCTTCCCACTTGACTAAAGAATAAAAACCAAATTCCTTTCATTGGCCTACAAGACTCTACAGGATTCATGGCACCTGGGTTGCTCAGTGGGTTAAAGCCTCTGCCTTCGGCTCAGGTCATGATCTCAGGGTCCTGGGGTCGAGCCCCACATCAGGCTCTCTGCTCGGCAGGGAGCCTGCTTCCCTTCCTCTCTCTCTGCCTGCCTTTCTGCCTACTTGTGATCTCTGTCTGTCAAATAAATAAATAAAATCTTAAAAAAAAAAAAAAAAAAAAAAACTACAGGATCGGAGCTGCCCCCTAGCACCTCTCCACCCATCTGCTGCCACTTGACCAGGAGCTTGCCGGCTTTAGCTACCTTAGCCCCACCCCATTTGCTCAGGACCTTTGCACTTCCTATCCCTTTTGCTAAAAGACATACCCTCCCCCACCTTATCTTCCTCACCTTATTCAGGGGCCTACCTCCTCACCTTCTTCAAAACTCTACAGCCAGACTTTCCCTTGATCACTTTATTTAATACAGCACAGCCCCACCCAAGCAGCTTCCCCTTCTCTGTTTTGTTTCCCTGAATTAGAATGCAAACAGAGAGTTCAGGGAGTTTGCTTGATTCATAACCACATCCCCAGTGCCTAGAACAGGAGTGGTATATAATAGTCATTCAAAGAGTATCTGCTGCTCACTGACTCATTTGACCAATATACATTAAGGGCCCTCGACTATGTTCTAGGTAGCTTGTTAAAATTCTCGGAGCATACACTATGGTGAGGATGAGAGATAATAAGTATGTAGATAGGTAAGTTCACTTTAGGTAGAGATAAATGTCATGAATTCAATTGTGAAAAGAGATAGTATCTTCACTGTCAGCCCCTCTACTTTGTATAGACTGGCGGCGAGGGCCTCTCCATGAAAGTGACATTTGAGCTGAATAACAAGAGAGAGAGAACCATGGGAAGTTCTGGAGGCAGAGCATTCAAGGCAGAGGGCAAAGCTAGTTAAAGGCATCTAGGTAAGGAATGAGTTTGGTACAGTTCACAGTAGAAGTTTATCTATGGTTATCATCTGCTTGTATCTTGTGAATCTTCAAAGTACCCTTGAAGAGATGAGTATCAGCTCAATCGTGAGAGATACTGCTTTCCTGCACACCAGCGGCATGCTACTTTTGCTCTCTACGGCGGACATAACCCATTCATCCACCACAAGCAAGTCCTACTGCAGGAAGCCACTGGGATTTCCTTACAGAAGTCTAGGTTATGCATGAGAGGCATGATAATGAATGGCACAGGTGATCTGAGACTGAAGGAATATTTTCTGGTCAATTTGGTATGTTCTATTTCTTGTCTGTTGGTCAGTATCATGAAATTCAAGAGGAAGTTTGATTGGGGAACTTAAAAGCTGGGACTTAAGGGCCTGCATGTTTATGAGGGAAGGGAGGGCCGTTAACTCTGACTTCTTGCATGTGTTAAATATGCTTAAGGTAAGGGAGGAGTTGGGAGATCGCCAGCCCTGGGTCTGGTCTCAGTCCAGTTTCTGGTGATGGGAGAGGATGCTCACTGTTCCTCTGCAAATGATTCTTAGGACTTTCCTAAATAAGAGTGCTTTGTCCTTTCACCCTACAGTGTAAGGTACTGGAAACATCCCTGATCTACATTCTCATCTGATTTCTATCTCCCCTCCACGTACCACCTTCTCTTCCAGTCAGATTCCTCCCTACTGTGCCCCCCATGAACTTGGCAAATATTCTGCACACTAAATATTTGAGCAAGGAAATAAGGGTGGTTATGAGAAGTATGAAGTTAAAAGGGGAAGAAGAGCTGAGTGAAATGAAGTGAGTGCCTCGGAGGACTGAATGAATTTAACATAAACGATCAATAAGCTATAAAACACCATTCAAATGTCAAAACCACGATTTTCCACTGCCTGTCAGAGTGCCTGACAAGCCTTCCCAATAAATAGCGAAGGAATAAGTGAATCGCAAAAAACACCGAAATGAATGCTGCGAGGAGAGGGGAGAAGAGATAGAATCGGAAATTATTCCAAACAAATGTTTTGGTCATTTATTGTCCTCCCAATGCGTGTGAGTCCCTTCCGTATGCAGCCTTTAAAATTCAATGACTTGTTGCTTTCAGAAAAAGGAAAGACCTGGATACTGAACTTGAAGTAAAGCCGGGTATAGAAGAGTCTTAATAAAGACTCAGTAAAATATACACCAACATATAATCCTTAAAAAAGGGAGAGAAAATGTTAAATGAGGGACATGGCCAACGTCTAGGACATGGCCTAGAAAATGAAAGAAACCCCGACATCACTATGATGTGACTTTTATACTTAATAGAACCAAACGGGAAAAAACGTTAATAATGTTGGAAATTTTTAACTTTTTATTTCCATAGCCTTACAAACAGTGTCCGAGACTTTTCCCTATTACTTGTCCGAGACAAGTAATAATATAACAGCAGGCATCCATAGAGCACTTCCTATGTGCTGACCCTGTTAGATCCACCCAGGCACTGGCACATTTCACCTATGAAGCTAGTCCTATAACTACGCAATTCTTAGAAGAGCATATGAGCAAATGAGTGGTGGAGCTGGGATTTGAACTCAGGCAATCTATCTTCAGAATTGATGCTTTTAAATGCCATTTTTCCAGCTTCTCACTTATCAAATGCTTTACATGCACAGAGGAAATTGGTTCTATTATCTTCCCCACTTTACCAATGAGGTATCCAAGGCAAAGAGAGGTTTGGTAACTTGACCAACATAATGCAGCCGTTGATCCCTCGTAGGAGCGGCAATGGCCCTCAAGCTCCCTGTGCTTGTGAGCTATAGGGGTGGTGACCAAAAACTCAAAGGAGCTGCCCTAGAAGGACTAGGACTAGGAAGGAGTGAAGTCTTGGCTCCCTTCTGCCTTCTAGCTATAGCACAATCTTGCCTCCAGGAGAAATCTCCAAGGACGCATTTGAGCCCACAGACAGAATGGACTCACATTCTACTCTTCACCCAACCCAGTCCTACACAAGATAAATATGACTTCATTCCTGCCTCCTAAAATACCATAAAGGTTTGCAAAGCACTAGGTTCTTAGTATGTTTATTTACTCTGATCTCATTAACTCTAGACAAGGATAAAGTGAGTCGGTGAAAACTGCTGAGACCTGGTTCCAGTATTCCAAAGCAAGCAGCATCCGCTGGTCTTCTGGGGCTTGTGAAATTGAACAAATGAATTCTACTGGTGGCTTTCCATATCAAGCTGAGCCCAGAAATAACTGGCCCTCACACACACACACAGGTGATTCTGGAGTTTCTCATCAAGACTAATTAACATCACTGATGTTTCCTGAGAACTTGGAGGCCTTGGTTTCGGACTGTGGGACTTCACCCAGAGGTTAACTATGAATGAGTTACCACATTCTGTTCCTGCACCCCGCTGTTTTGAGGGGTTTCCTATTGTCAGCTTCACCTGATTATCACAACCGTGTCGGCAGGTGTCATTCAACAGTGTCCCAAATGCGGGCAGGAGCTCAGAAAGGTTAGGTGACTTCCACTGCCCCTCAGGGAGCAGCAGAAGGCAAAGGTGCCTCTCAGGGAGATGGATGCCCAGCAGGGATGCCAAGACATGCTTCGTGACTCAACGTTCAGTGCTCTTCCGGCTTGTCAGCAGCCCTGTCAAATCTACTCCATTTCATGCCCCACAGGGGGGTTGTCATTCAAAATAATCACCTTGGAGACTATATGCTTATTTGGGAAATGTCAGAATTGCTCACCGATTTATCTGTTGAGGAATTTTCTTCTGAGCCTGTTTACAGAAGAACATTGTTGCGTTACTTTATATGTATGCCAGATTTGGGGTCGATCTCTTTACAAGGCTATAAAACAAGGCACCTCTCCACAGGACAGACCCACGTGTCTGAGAGTAAATTAAGACAAAGCCAGTTTTCACAAGCGTGAAATTAAGGTGATGATTATCAGGTACTCACTTTTTGACATTGGGCTTTAAGGATCTCATCCCTGGAGTTCTCTATATGCTGAATAGTACTGAGGTTAGGTTTTGCAGAAAAAGGAAGGGCTGATTCAACCGCAGAGATTTTAATATGTGGTTCCAAAAAGTCTGCATATTTCACTGTGAGGTTTGGACAAGAAGCCAAGCCACTGGCTAGACTATAATGGGCGACTTCTTATATAATTGTAAGATCATTTGTTTGATAAAATTAAGTGGGGGGAGGGAACTTTCCCTAATTTGCTTTCCAGTTACTGCAGAAATATGCATGATATTTCACAGTAAGGAAATGGCCTCAAACTCTGCTAAACTTTAAATTGATACTGCCTGTTATGATTTATGTTTAGAAAATAAGTTTCTTTTCCTCAAGTGTATGAGAAAATCATACACTTTGGAGTTGGGTGAACCCAATATGCTTCTGCTGGCTTTGTTATTTAAAATCTAAGAGTTGGGGCAAAATTATTTAAATATTGTGAATTTCAGCTCTTTATCTTAAAATACAGCAAAAATGCTGGACTCTTATGAGATTAAATAAGATGATGGAGAGCGCTGCATTTCGCAGTGTCTGGCAGATAATGGGCACATCATAGACATGGTGCCACCTTCCAGTTCCTGTCTCCATCATACTTCTATAATCCAAACAGTTCCTTGCTGAATATGCTTATCTTGAGAGTTTCATTACCTTCTTCTCTTGGATGACATCTCTAGTAGTATCAGTAGTGTCTTAAGTGTATCTTAAGAGTGTTGTAGTGTCTTAAGAGTATCTTAACTGATACTCTCTAGTAGTATTGGTAGTGTCTGAAGGTCTACAGCATTTCATCTGCTATTCCCTCTTCCTCTCAGAAGTCAGCCATTTCCAAAATAAATTCACTCTCGGGTTCAAAGATTTAGTCAAAATCTAGACAGCTCAGAGGTTTCAGTCTCAGGGCTCAATTGTCATCCTAGACTTTGCAACTCAGCTGACAATTAATAAAATGGCTTGGTTTTATTCCGAACTAAAAGTTCAGCCACCGGCAACACCTGGGAGGGGGAGTCTAGGTGGCAGTGGGCAGAGGTTAGGTGGCATAAAGGAAGTCTAAGGAAACTCCAGGTGTCCTGAAAATCCAAAGACAGTGACTTCCTTGCTGTGCCCAGCCCAGGAGCCTAAGCCAGGCAGTGATGAAGAATCGGGCCTAACCAGGGCAGAGCAGCAAGAGCACAAGCTCAGATAGCAACTGCCATGTTTCCCCATAGCTCCTGGGGTCCAGCAGGTCCCTAAGAGGAAGAACACGCGTGTGCCCTGCAAAGGAAACAGAAGTTGTACATCGATTGTAGCAGACATTACTGGAGGAGAGAGCAACCATATGAAAGAAGTTTAGCGCCTCTTTACACCGCATTCAACATCCCTTTAAATATTTATGAAGCGCCAGCTATGTGCCTGATCTTGTTGGAAGTCACCGTGGCTCCAGAGGTCTATGGCCCATGAGAATCTGCACAGTATCAGAGTGAATGGCCACCCGTGGGGCTGTCGAGAGTTTCATGTGTCACACAGGAACATCATAGGGTGGGAAGATACCTTCCTGTGTCAGTCATCGTCCTCCAAAGGAAAAGAACCAATAGGATGGATATCTGTATCTAAATATCTGTCATTTGATAAAGATAAAGACTGATTTTAAATTAGCTCACATGATTAGGGGGCGGGTAAGTCCAAAATTTTTGTAGAGCCAGCAAGCTGGAAACTCGAGCCTTGAGATGGAATTCTTCTTCTTTGGGAAACCTCAGTCTTCTGTTCTTTTGACCTTCCGTTGACTGGATGAGGCCCAACTGCATTATGGAAGATCATCTCCTTTACTAAAACCAAATAATTGTAAATGTTAATCACATCTTCAAAATACCTTCACTGCCACTTCTGGACCAGCGTTTATCTAAAGAATGGGGCACCAGAGGGAAGCCAAGTTGACATGGAAAATTAACCACCACACCTTCCAAACAGTGTCCTATTTCATGAAACTGAGCTTCTTTTGAGGAAAGATGGCTGTCGGGTCAGCAAAAAGCCACAGCTTCATAAGCTGTAAAGAACTGAAACTACATGCATGTAGTGTAAGAGCGTCTGCAACTGCAGGGTCACCCCCCTTAGTCACTTGTTCTTCAGACGGACTTGTGGAGTCCAAGCTGTGAATAGATGAGCTCTGGGGGTCTCTCTCTCAGCTGTGTAGCTTAGGGACAGGAGGAAGCCCTCTCCATAAACCCAGGTACAGTAGGCATGTGGACACACTGCACTGTATCTAAATGCTCCTTTATTAATGAAGATGTTCTTTATTATTAATTCATCTTTTATGTATCATTTATGTATGACTCTGTTAAGGAGGTATAATGAGGTCACAGGGGAGGAAAGCATTTCATAACTAACCTGACAATGCCCAGCCCCCTCCAAAAAATCACTTTTCACACCCACCTATGTACCTCTCTATGCCTTCAGTCTCTAGGCTGTATATGAAGAGAATGTTAAAGGATCAACCTTTTCTACCCATGAATGAGACACAAACCAATGTTGTTCAGCTTTCCAAGGAGAGAGAAAAGATAGTTACCATTAAGTAAAGACTAGAAACTTGACCTCCTCCTCCAAAAAATTCCAGAATGGATTATTAAATAGATTGTTTGTGGACTTTTTAGAGCGAGAACTGACCGCTGGAAACAATATCAGATGACTTCTACCAAGTCATCTCTAACAAAACACTTTTCCTTCTTGGGCTGCATTGTTAATCTCATTCAATGTAGTAATACTGCATCATAGTATATTATATTTTTACAAGTTCTTTGAGAGCTCGATCATAATATCTTTTTGGACAATTTAGGGAGAGAGGCTGGATTTAAATATCAATTACATGGGCACATTGTTAGTAGGATAGGTCTATTCAAGATTGTTGATGAATGGAACAATGTCAAAGTGAAGAGAAAGGGGTAGGAACAAGGTTCTGTTTAAGCCTTTTCTACTAAACTTTTATCAGCAAATTAAATGAATATGCAACAATCATGTTAACAAAATTTATAGATGACACACATCTTGCTGGGCTCACTAATCCAACAAATATGGAATTAACATTCAAAATCATCCACACAGGCTTCAGTAACAAAAAGAAACAAAGAGAGAAAGTAACAGGGATAAATGTGTATCATACAGTTGCTTAAGATGCAGCTTAGCAGAAGTTCATGTGAAAAATTATCTGGAACTCTGCAGCAGTTGCAAGTTCAAGAAGCAAATAAAATGGAATATCTGTAACACACACACACACACACGCACATACACAGACACACCAAATAAAATAGCTTTTAAAAGCTGGAAAGAACCCTAGAAATTATTCAAATCAAATCCCTCATTTTACAGAGAAAAGTTGAGCATGCAATCATAGAAACACAGTAACTGATAGTAAAACCAGTATTTATATTTTATTGTAGACATCAAAACTTTGAGTTGTTTTTATTGTGGTCTTGATTTGCATTTCCCTGATGACTAGTGATGTTGAGCACCTTTCCATATACCTTTTCAATGGCCATCTGGATGTCTTCTTTGGAAAAATATCTATTCAATTCTTCTGCCTACTTTTTAGTAGGTTATTTGGTTTTTTGCTATTAGAGTATAGAAGTTTCTTATGGGTTTTGGATATTAACCCTTTTCAAATATAAGATCTCCAAATATTTTCACCCATTCCATAGGTTGCCTTTCCATTTTGTTGATTGTTTCTTTTTCTGTGCAGAAGATTTTTTTAGTTCAATATAGTCCCACTTGTCTATTTGTGCTTATATTATCTAAATATCCATTGATGGATGAATAAAGAAAATGTGGTATATACATTAAATGAAATATTATTCAGCCTTAGAAAAAGAAGGAAATCATGCCATTGGGACATGGATGAGCCTGGAGGACATTATGCCAAGTGAAATAAGCTAGACACGAAAGGACAAATACTACATGATATCACTTACCTGTCCAACTCCCAGAAACGGAGCAAAATAGTGGTTCCTAGGGGCTGGAAGTAGGGAGAAATAGAGAGAGGTTAGTCTAAAGGCACAAAGTGCAATTACACAAAATGAATAAATCCTTAGAGATCCACAATACAGTGCAGTGCCTATAGTTAACAATACCATATCATGTACTCAAAGTTTTGCTAAGAGTGTAGGTCTTATGTTCAGTGTTAACACAAATAATAACAACAAATAAAGAAAAAGTTATTTCAATAGGCAACGGTTATTTCAAAGAGCATAAGCAAGATTTTGAGGAATACAAAAACAATATAATGGCAAGAGATTTTTAGTTTAGCCTAGCATATAGTAGAATCGCCTAGAGGGGGGTACTATTTGAGGTAGCACGGCAGCTATATTCTTCCCAATACCGAATAGCAAAACTAGGATCTACAAGTAGAAGTTAAAAAGGAAAATTCAGGTGTAGCTATGAAAACCTTTTGAACAACTGAAGCCACCCATTGATGGGAAACAGCACTTCAACAAGAATTGTATTCCCATTCCTGTGATAGATCTAAGCTCTAGGCCCGCTGAAAACAATTGACATAAAAGGGATTCAGAATTTGGGTGAAGAAGGTACAGTAGATGATCTACTTCCTTTCTATTTCTTTTTTTTTTTTAAAGATACATTTTTTTGACACAGAGAGAGAGAGAGAAAGAGAGCACAAGTAGGCAGAGCGGCAAGCAGAGAGGAGAAGGAGAAGCAGGCTCCCCACTGAGCAGGGATCCTGATACAGGGCTCGGATCCCAGGACCCTGACATCACAACCTGAGCCGAAGACAGGCACTTAACCAACTGAACCACCCAGGCCCCCCTTCCTTTCTATTTCTAAGATTCTATAATTTCAGACAACTGCCTCACCAACTTCTTATGCAAAAATAAACGGGATTTTTTTTCTAATTTCCTCTCCCATTTTCAGGGATCAAAACTTGATTTAACACCTCTAATTTTAGAGAACTTACAATCATAATCAATAGCTAATATGCCTTATACATTCCCCATGTGCCAGGATACATGGCAAACAGTAGACCAATGATGCCTTAAATGTCCACATACCTAGTGATTACCAGATTTGGGGGGAAAAAAAAAAGGCAGGATTTTCTTCTTGTTGTTAAATACATGACTAAATGTGAGGGCTATGCTCTCGTTATGATCAAATATTTCCAAAGTGTTTTATAATCATTTTTATTCATTTACTTAAATAAATCCAATGATACAAGTATAACAAGTGAACATTTACTAATAAATCTAGTTTTATAAGTACATTACAATGGAATTAAAAGCCTACTAAAAATCCAGTGCCAATCCACATAATTTAAATCATTTTATTGCACAAATTGATTTTTTAATTATATTGGTTTCTCTCCTGTTCATTCTAATAAAATCTTATATTATTGAGCCCTTATGCTAGATAAAAAGTGAAGCAAAAAAAAAAAAAACTGAGGCAATCATTAAGTATTTAGCAAAATCCATAGAATTTTATAATGCAGAGTAAATTCTAATGTGAAATATGGACTTCAGTTTAAACTAATGTATCCATCGTCACATCAGTTCTAACAAATACATTACACCAATGGAAACACAGAAGAAACTTCAGAGGTGGGGAGTTTATGGGAACTCTTTGTACTTTTTTTTCAATTTTTCTGTAAATCTAAAACTGCTCTAAGAAATGAAGTCTGGTAATTAAAAAAAAAAAAAGATTGAAGCAGTCAGGGGCACCTGGGTGGCTCAGTTGGTTGAGTCTCCGCCTTCAGCTCAGGTCATGATCCTGAGTCCCAGAGTCAAGCCCTACGGCAGGCTACCCACTCAGTGGGGAGTTTGCTTCTCCCTCAGACCCTCCCCCCTCATGCTGTCTCTCTCACACACTCTCTAATAAACAAAATCTTTAAAAAACTAAAATAAAAAATTGAAGCAGTCAAACTTTCATCAGCCCTTTGATTAATTACAATTAAGCCATGCCTCCAAAAGTGTCTATCACCCTGCATTTATCACTGTTTGCAAATATCTCAGCCATAGAAATACAGAGATACTAAAGATAGAAAGAAGCAGCTCTCATTTATAACTGTCCCACTGTGTGACATCATCACAATCTGGAAGCTTAGCTTTCCCCTACCCAATTTAACACAAGACCGGGTGTTTTTAATATATCCCCAGGAGAGTGGGAGGGTTGTTTCATGAATTTTATACATATTTGGACTATCCGATCCCTTTTCCTGATAGAATCTCCATCATCCTTCCAATTCTTCTAGCCCTCTAACTAGACATTATATCAACCCATCCCAACTGGCCCCAAGGACTCATGTCGTATGCGCAGTGAAAGTAGCTGTCAACAGGCCTGAAGTGTCTGTCACGTGCAAGGCCCTGAGCCGGGTTCTGGGGACACTGCCGTGTCTAAGGCAGGCAGCCTTCCTCTCCTCGGCAGAGAAGGAAAACATCACACGAATTTTACAATAAATAAACAACCCTATGTTTATCACACTCACAGTGTTCACACAAAAAATACTGACTGAATGAATGAATTCAACTGATTAAGAACATGGATTCAGTTTCACTTTTCCCCTTCTACCTACTACCTAGAAAATGTTTACTAAGAAAAAAAAATAGCATAGACAGAATAATGTGTGCATATCCAAAGTGCTTAAACTGAATATGTTTAAAATATTGATATAATCACTTAGTTGATGTCCTAAGTTTCAAATAAGCCCTATTTTTTTTTTTTTAATTTAAGAGGAGTTTTTTTTTCCCTGGTTAGCAGCTTCAATTGACCAGATGACTATCCTGCATGTTTTGTGAGAGCACCTCAGGAAGGCTGACTATGTGTGTTAAGTATTTAAATGTTCTGACCAAACTTCTGATGTTCGGTTCAGAGGAGTAGTGAGGGAACTCTCTGTTCTGTCAGCAGGATAAGGCAGTAACTGCGCACCCTGTCCGAGAACATCAAAAGGCATGTGTTTGTTTGGTTTTCTGCCAGCTCTCTCCAGCTACTCAGGTGAGGCTCAGAGTTGGACATACCCAGGGAGGGAGCGGCAGGTGTAGGCAAGGGAGTGATTAAAACGACGGAATGCATCCAAGTGGTGCAAGGAGGGAAATGAGGGCATGAGTGGGGCCTTCTCAAAATAGCACTTGAAGACATAGGATTATGCTTCACTATTCTTTTCTCCTCAAAGGAGGAGTTCAGGGAGCCAATAGAGCACATAACAGGGTTTCTAACCAAGAGGGAATAATAGAAAGATCATTTCCCACCTCTCGCCTTTGCTGTCTCTCAGTGTGTCTCTCGCCTCCTTTATTAACATGACATGCCTGGAGCCCGCTGCTTCAGGGCTACTGGAAGAACAGAGCCTTTTCGGCTTCCCCTGGATTAATCAATATTCCTTTCACTTCAATTCTCTTTTGACCTTCAAAAGTAACCTTTGTGGGTGACTTGTACTCTTGCTGGTGTGAAAGGGGCTGGATTGCTGGATTTGATCATCATGTTATTTCTATTTCTGTCGGGCTAAATACTAAAATCCTAACTCCAAAGTCAGAACAAAAAGCAGGTCCTTATTCCTCTAACCAAAATAGTTCCTTAACAGGGAAATGAGACTCAAGAGATAGAGTAAGACAAAAACCAGTGTTGATTCTATTTCCAATGACCCAATTACAATGAGAAGGAGTCGTATCACCACCCCGACAGAGACCTGTCCCAGGTGTCCCGCCCAACACTTCCACATCAATCTCTTTGGCCCAAACTCAGTCATGGGGCCACATCCTCCCTGTGGGACCACCAGGTGGGGGGCAGCACAGCCACCAGCAGGTTCAAGAACACATCGTCCAGACAGTGGAAAGTTTCTGTCCCCTTAGTCTCAAGGCATGTGAAAGTCCCCAAAGGATCCTTCTATTCATATCATCCTGCTCAAAGGAGAGTATCCCTGGAGCTGTCACTGTGCTAACTCTCGGCTTATGAATCTGACTCTCTTTCTCTTTCTTGCCAGCCCCACTTCACCGTCAACTTCAAGCCTTCACAGCACAGAGCCATTCCATTTTATTTTTGTATCTGAAACACGTGAGTTTGCTCAGTAAAACTTTGGCCAGTGCATGAATGAGTCAGTGCGTGAACAGCTAAACTGGACAGGGGAATCTGAGGGAAGACGTGAAGAAGACATATGTTCCAAGGATCTAATTTGCCCAATTGGCTTATTTTGTTTTTTTTGGAAAAGTCACAATTTATTTAGCTTTTCATTTTTTCCCACCTCAAATTGTTTTATCCAGTGGGAAGAGAATTTTTTAAAATTTTAATATTTAGAATTGCTAAATTTTCAATCCGATGCCCTGATAAAATCTTTTCTCTGAAGGCCCAGTGAACATAAATATGAGAGTGGTTTATGTCCTCCCTGTCTTCAAAAATGTTTACGATGTGCTTATCCACAAGCACGGGGTGGGAGAAATCCTTCCAGAAAAGCTGAACAAACAGGGATTCCTATCAGCTACTTATCATCTAGCTCAAGATATTTAGCATGAGACTATAAACAGATCCCTTTGCAGCTATAGATCAATAATAATGCCTTTGGGTGATTTGTAATATATAATAACTTAAAGTTCTATTTTTTTACTGTCTCACATGTAAAATGGTGTAGATACTATAACATGCCACCTTTTCAGCAAGAAATCATGGGCATGTCAACTGTCTCTTTCATGACATTATAACCCTATAGCTTCCTTTCATTAATATGAATTAATAACAAGTAGAGGTGTTGATCGTCTTCAGTTTTCTGAAAGGTGCTGTGGGATGATACTGCAGAAAGCAGGGATAAGCTTCACTTTCCACAAGATGTTGAATGCTTGGCCAACCACTTTCAAGATACTGTATTGGTACAATGATGAGTAAATACGCAAGGCAAAGTTTTAGCTTGTGTTTAAATAGGCCGTCAGGAAATAAAGAACTCCGTTGGTTTTGCGTCTGTCTTGCTTTTGAGACTGGAGATGCGTATATGATGGAGGAAGAGTAGCACCTAGTGGTCAAAAGCATCAGCTGCACCCACTACGTAGCCGATGGAAGCGTTCCAGAAAGTAGTTCAGCCACCTTGTGAAAAATGAAATTTGTGTTTCAGGGATTTTTAAAGGCTGGCATCTTCGATTCCTCAGATGGGTGTTTATCATGTCAATTAAAGAATCTGACTCAACTCTATATGCTTGAATATTTCCAGGTAAAATGTAGAAACAATCAATATAGCCAAGAATTTAGAAAAAGACCATAGGGGTTCCTGTTTGGCTGGGTCCGTTAGGGGTCAGACTCTTGAACTTGGCTCAGGTCTTAAGCTCAGGATTGTGAGTTCAGGTCCCACAATGGGCATGGAGCTTACTTTAAAACAAACAAACAAACAAACAAACAAACCCTAAACTTCCCAAACTTTTTACAGGTACCTAAAGTATATATGGTAAAAGGTACAGGTTAAAATAATATATTTCTTAGATGACTTCAGATTTTATTTAACAATTATCTTGTTTTGAAATGAATATTGCTTTCTTAAGCAATGAGTTAGTATTTCGCTGAAATTATTCAAAGAACTTATAGTACATTTCTTCTTTTTTAAGATTTATTTCTTTATTTGAGAGAGAGAGAGGGCAGGGAGAGGGGCAGGGTGAGAAAATCCTCAAGCAGACTCCTCACTGAGCTCGATCCCAGGTCCCTGAGATCATGACCTGAGCCAAAATCAAGAGTCGGACGTTTAACCAACTGAGCCACCCAAGCACTCCGGAAGTACATTTAAATAGCTATGCTGAACTTCTCTTTTCTTTCAGTGATGGATAAACACAACACAGTATTTTACACCCTTTGGACATAAAATAAATTAATAATTGAGAATTAAAAACTTGTATAGTGGAAACTAATTTTAATTACATAGCTTAGAGTTTGGATGACATTGACAGAGGTAAGGTGAAATCATTGGTAAAAGTATGAATAATCATTTGTGTATACCGTTATTCCTATACTAAATATAAATCCAACTCAAATTTTATTCCCCTAGTGGGGTATAATCATAAGAGTATGTCATTTGTCCATGAGACCCTGATAGGAAAAGACAGAACCGTGAAATTCGAATTGCACTAAACATTTTGTTTTGATTCCCCAGGCTCTTTTTCTAGTAGCAGATGCCACACACACACACACACACACACACACACACACTCAGGCCAATCATCATACCCTGCCCATTGGTCTTTGAGATTATTCTAAGGTTGTCCATTCAAAGTGCAGCTTCCAGCAGAGACACCTTCAACCAGAGCTGGAAGGGAAGTCCCTTCTTTCCCCTTAGGTGGGCAACTGTAAGGGGCAATGCTCCAGCCAAGAGCAGCTTCTTGCAGCAGAAAATGAAGGCAAATAACAAGACATATAGCCCTTAACATATGAGTCTCTCATTCTCTGGCTCCTGTTTTAAGTTCCTGTTTCTCCTCCCAGTTTCTCTTCCCATATCTCTTTGAGACAAAATCTACTTCAAGATATGTTTCCACAACCTGAAGAAAACTGACTCATACCGCGTTTCTAAAATAAGATGTAGCTCTGCTCATGCCACCACCCTGGTCAGAAAATCTCCACTGCTCTCCATTGCTTGAAAAATAATCTCCAAGTGCTTCTGACTTTGTGATTCAGCTCTAATCTACCTTTCCAGCCTCATCTCATTCAATCTAGTGAAACTGTTCCTTATTTCTTCAAAACACCTATGATTTATTCTCATTCGCTCTGCCCCATGAAAATTATTTTCTACCTCCAGACAGACACCCCTGTTTCCACCTTCTGAAATTGTATCCACTTTTAAGATCAACCACCAATGACTCATCTTCTAGAAACCCTTCCTCATTACCCCACGAATCAGCTAAGGTGAGGGTCAGCTGCCTGTAAATGAAAATGTAAAATTATAATCGTTTAAAGAAGAAATTTAATTCTTGCTCACGTAAAAGGAGCCTGGAGGTAGGGATTCCTGGCAGTTACAGCAGCAACACAGACACCAATATATTAGTGTCTGTGCTACACTAACAAATTAGCACTAACTTAACAGCTCCAAACAATGCACTTTTATTATCTCCCAGTGTCTGTGAGTGAGGAGTCAGGCCTTGGCTTAGCTACCAGGCCTCTTAAGGCTTAAACCAAGGTGTTGGCTGGGCGGTAACGTCATCAGGACCCTGGCTGGCGATGGGGGGGTGGGGGTGATCCACTTCCCAGCTCCCTCAGAACTGAATTTTTGGCAGAATTCATTTCTTTGTAGCTGTAACATTCGTCAAGCACTACTTTTTCAAGGACAGCAACAAAGAGAAAAGAGTCTCTGCTGCTTGGAGTCTCTGAATTCAGGGAAGGCATAGGCCCTCTCCCCTGATTAGGGCAAACCTACCCAAAATAATCTCCCTTCTGATGAACTCAAAGTCAACTGATAAGGGACCTTAATTACATCTACAAAATTCTTTCACCCTTGCCCTATAAGGAAGTGTTGTTGTGGAAGTGATATCCAACCTCCTTTGCCATGTCCCACTGATTAGAAGAAGCAAGTCACAGGTTTCATCCTAACCCAATGAGAGGGGATTCTATAAGGGCATGACTCATCGGGGGCTACTCAGTATTGTCCACACAAGCAGCGACCGGGGTCCTCAATTTTTCTGCTCTACCCTATCACTAGCCTCCAACCTCAAGTTCCCCTCATGATGGAAGAAGGTGCTAGAGCTCTACCCATCATGTCCTCCTAAAATACTGCAGAGATGAGGAAAGAAATAGAGCAAGAAAGAGTATTCCTCCCACCTGAGTCAGTCGCCTGTAAGCAGAAGTCCAACATGTTCACTTAAACCTCTTCAGGCTCAGCTGCTGGCAATAAGAAGCGCATTATCTGTAAAGGAGTTATTAAGAAGCAATAAAGCATTTAAGTCAGCCTGCTTTTTGTCACCATCCACCAGCAATTCTAAACAATCCAGTGACAGAATACTCCTTCCCAGAAAACACTTTACTGGTGGTCTAAATTGTAAACAACTGGTGTGATTACAGTTGAGTTTTAATAATATACTATATAGGGATGCCTAGGCGGCTCAGTCAGTTAAATGTCTGCCTTCAGCTCAGGTCATGATCTCAGGATCCTGGATCAAGCCCCACCTTCAGGTGGTCCCTGCTCAGCTGGGAGTCTGCTTCTGCCCCTCCCCCATCGTGCTCATGCACGCTCTAATAAATAAAATCTTTTAAAAATAATATATGTGCAAGTTTCAAATTAACATAGTTTTATTACTTATCCTCTAATAACACAGTATTCTATTTGGAATTTAATTCAAAGAACTCCCCATTTTCCTCCCCTCACACGAGAACTTGTCTATCTCAAGAGTACATTCATACGCTTTAGAAAATCTTCCAACTCCTGGAGTGCCTGGGTGGCTCAGTCGGTTGAACATCTGTCTTTGGCTCAGGTCATGGTCCCAGGGTGCTGGGATAGAGTCCTGAGTCAGGCTCCCCACTCAGTGGGAGGCCTACATCCACCTGTGCTCTCTGTCACTGTGTCTCTCTCAAATAAATAATAAAATCTTAAAAAAAAAAAAAAAAAAAAAAAAACAAAACTTCTAACTCCCCTCTAGACACAGTTTGTGCCCCAGCTCCAGTGGAAGGACACATCCCTGCACTGAAACAGCAGATTCCAAGTAAACAATGATAGCTTAGGAAAGAAACAGAAATGGAATTACTTCAATTCTTTCATTCTGAGTTGTTACTTTGTATTTAAATTTAAGACAGCGGAAGAGAGTGTGTGCAAACTGTGAGGTGTATTGTTTTGTTTGGGGATTGCAAATTTTAACTTATGTATGAAATGTATGAAATATTTCACTTCATGGTGATGATTTGAAATTTAAAAAAAAAAAAATTTTTTTTCAAGTAATCTCTGTGCCCAGTGTGGGGCTCAAACTTACAGGCCCAAGATAAAGAGTGGCACACTTCACCCACTGATACAGCCATGTGCCCCTTTCTTCTTTTTTAATTGTTAGTTACTTCTAAACTAGAGAACAATTTCAGAAAATGAAACATCACGTCAGTGGTCAATTTAATAGGTGCCTATTTTTGCAGATGTTTTGGTTTTATTAAATTTTAACTTTTATTAACTTTATTAGTTACTATAATGTCATCCATGACTATGACAAAGAATTATGCAATATAATAGGTTATTTTCTTTCTATTTTATTACTCCTGACATAATTATGGAGCTCAATGACCTTGACCTATCTTTCAGGAAATAAATAGGCATAATAAGTAACTACAGAACTAAGGTAGCATGCTTTGCTGAACCAGTTTTGAGATGGGGAGCTCTCAACTTCCTGTAATTCTAACATTTGGTTTCCTCAAATGCCTCCTCCATTAATCTGGGGGAGGGAGCTGGAGCAGAAATCGCTCATGCCCTCTCGACTGTAGCTGGCCCCATGGGGTGCAACCCTTTGTTCAGACTTTCACAATAAAGAAAGATCCAGGGGCACTGGCCATGACAAGGACAGGGTCAATATGTGGACATTCTCAAATGCAATACTTGGTTATTTCATTGTGCAAGAAAACAAGGATTTTGCATTTCAAAACTAAGTCATTTCTATATTTTAAATTCATATTAATAGAAATTGAATTCTATTTGTTTAAGTAACTTTTAATAAATGTTATTCTCAGTAATATTGTTATTTACTAAATAATAATGATGTCATGCGTTAAATAATACTTATTTAATAATATAATATAAATAATATACACTGAGTAAATGTTATTAAATGATAATACATTCAATTTTAAAGTAAGCATCACATCTCTAATGTGCTACATACAAATAGTTAAGTCAAATGCAAATGGAAAAAGAATAAAGCAGGGTACATTCTGGAGTTAACACAGTAAGGATATGTACCCCATAACAGCGATGATAAGATATGCATGTTCACTCCAAACCTCCTAAACTTTCCCCACGGCAGTGGGTCAGGGCAGGGGAGAAGGTATTAGAGAATCTTCCTGGAAACCTCATAAGAACACCTCCTCCCCTTTGCAGAGTTCTGATTCTTTTTGTCACTGACCCACCTCCAAGTCTTCTAGGCCAAGAGATACATAGCCCATGCTGAGCCAGCAGAGAAGAAGCAAGCCGAGGAGAAGAGCTGTGGTGCTTCTGCCTCAGAGGCTCCCTGTTCCTTCTAGGATTTCTCAAAATGGTTCTCTCTGGCTTAGAAGAGATTCCTGGCTTCTGGATGCATTCTGACAACTAACACGGTGGCAGAGGCTCCCAAGACTGCAATTCGAGATGCTCTGACCTTTTAAACAAACTGAACCTGAGATCGTCTTAACACGAGAGAGTAAAACAATGCTTTAATGGTGGGGTTTGTGTTATTGAATGTATTACACCAATTTTTTCTATTACTTAGTGGAGAGAGTCAAGTCACAAGGGGCCTGTGTCAAGCAATGACGCGAGCAGTTACGGTACTGCAGCTAGGATACATGGCGGGACCAATGTTCGCTCACACCCCAGAACTAATACCAAGGTCTGCGGGAACCCAAAACCTATTAAATCCCTTTAAAAAGGGACGGACGTTGGCAGCAAACTGTCAGACTCTTCAGACCTGACCCCTCTGTGCCAGACCACTTAAAAAAGGCAAGTAGCGCCGAGGGCTCTACGGGATGGATCTCTGAACAGAACCGAGAGCCCTCCCTGCTTGAACATCAGAAGGCGGCCATCTCTCGGACCTGTGCCCCATTTGCTCTTCTCCAGCTTCTGTAATCTCAAGTGTTCCTTATACTGACTTCCTCTATGGCCATAAAATATAGCCACCATCCCCTTTAATAAAAAATACCTTCGGGGCGCCTGGGTGGCTCAGTGGGTTAAGGCCTCTGCCTTCAACTCGGGTCATGATCTCAGGGTCCTGGGATTGAGCCCCACGTCGGGCTCTCTGCTCAGCAGGGAGCCTGCTTCCCCCTCTCTCTTTGCCTGCCTCTCTGCCTACTTGTGATCTCTGTCAAATAAATAAATAAAATCTTAAAAAAAAAATACCTTCAAATGCCCCTGCATCCCCCTTTTTTCTGTTTCACAAAGAAGCCCCTCGAAAAAATCACACGCAGACAGTCATGTCCACCATGACACTCCTGCTGTTTACCACTGCCAGCTGGCTCCTGTCCCGTCACTGCCCTGAAAACGCTCTGATGAAGATTCCCAAAGGCCTCCTGTTGGCCAATGTAATTTTTTTTTTTTTAACTTTTTTTCAGTGTTCCAAAATTCATTGTTTGTGCACCACACCCAGTGCTCCATGCAATATGTGCCCTCCTTACCCACCACCAGGCTCACTCAACCCCCCATCCCCCTTCCCTCCAAAACCCTCAATTTGTTTCTGAGAGTCCACAGTCTCTCATGGTTTGTCTCCCCCGCTCCTATTCCCCCCTCTGCCACTCACTTCTCCTTTCCATCTTTTATTCAATTCTCAGAGTCCCCCAGATTCTCTCTGTCAAGTGACCCTGTTGATCACTCTGTGTCTTTAAAACTTTTTTCCCTTTTGGGTTTCAAGAAAACACTCCTAATTCTGCTGCCTCGCTCACAGACTTTCTTGTTGTTTAAAGGTTGGTGTTCCCTAGGGATCTGCACTCAGACGAGTCATTACCTATGGCTCCAATTGTGACCTCCAGACTAGGACCATCCTCATCCCCCATGGCCCTGTGTTAGAAATGCAGATTATGTTGCCAGAATTCAGGACACCCAGTTCAATTGTAATTTCAGATAAGCAGTGAATAAATTTTATGATAAAAAATACGTAGGATGGGGGCACCTGGATGGCTCAGTGGGTTGGGCCTCTGCCTTCAGCTCAGGTCATGGTCTCAGGGTCCTGGGATCGAGCCCCGCATTGGGATCTCTGATCGGCAGGGAGCCTGCGTCCCCCTCTTTCTCTGCCTGCCTCTCTGCCTACTTGTGATCTCTCTGTCAAATAAATAAATAAAATATTTTTTTTTAAATGTAGGATGAGTATGTGTCATGTACTTTGGGGACATACTTATCCTTAAAAAAAATTGTTTATCTGCAGTTCGAACTTAATTAGGCATCTTGCATTTTTTTTTAATTTGCTAAATCTTACAATCCTAAATGCACATTTATAGTCCCTGTCACAGTCCTACTGAAATTCTGGAGATGGGACCCATAATGTTTTAATAAGCTCTCCAGGTGATTCTAAGTTCCCTAAAGTTTAAGGACCACTGCTCTATCTCACACCAGTGAGTGACCTCATCTGCTTGACATGACAACACTTCCCTCAAGTGTGAGATGCTCCTGAACTGCTAACTGATGTGGGTTTTCCTGAATTTGATTTAATTATGGGACCCACTTCTGTGTGGAAAAGCAGGAGGAATCCAAGAATCCAAGATCAAGGGTTTGGCTTTAGAGCAATTTAAACCTGTCTCGGTGTGAGACAGAAAGATTTGGGAGTGGACACAACAAGGGACAATTTGTTTTTTTTTTTTTTTTTTCTGCAAGTCCCTGTAGAGAATTTAAAACAAAACAAAACAAAACAAAAAGCCCTTGGAAACACATTTGCTGTACCCAGTCCCACATCCTTATCTCTGTAAGGGAAGGTGATGGACGGGTGGAGGCCCCCCATAAGTGTGGGGCTCTGAGCATAGAGGAGCGAGTGCCTCCCTCTGGAGTTTCTCTGAGCCACTGTGGCTTTTGAGTCTGTGGAAAGGCTTGGACGGAGAATTAAGTTGCACAGTTGCACAGTTATTCCATCTGGAATAGTCTTAAGGACTTAACTCTGAAATTGTGGAGGAAGAGGTAGACTTTAATGGAAATATCGCTGTTCAAACACCTGCAGATCCCAAGATCCAGTCATTGAAAGCCCTGCTCTCGTTCCCCACACT